TTCAGGTCTTTTTTTAATTTGTGACCTCTTTTCCTTTCCTCCATGCTTTTTGTAGGTGCTCATTTTAACTATGCAAGCTTCATTGCCCAAAGTGCTGAGGTTTTGTTGTTGTGCTGGGATGATTTATCTTGGGTATACTTTCTGTGGCTGGATTGTATTGGGACCTTACCATGAAAAGGTATGTCAGCAGTGTTACTCCTTTTCTGGTCAACTGTGTAATGTCTGTATGTAGCTCCCAATTATAAATTTAGGGCTTGTTTCTGGTATTTATTTTTTTGTTTATTTAAAAGCTCCAACACAAAATAACATGGGAGCGTTTCTGCTTCCACATACGCTTCTTGTCACCTGCTTCTTCTAACAAAATAACTATTCTTGCTTTCGCTGTCTGAACTGTACTGACCTGTAATCTGAGTGTCTGTATTGTTTGGATGAGGCTAGAGGTGCTTTGCTCTGTTCTCTGTTGCCCTCTTCTGGCAATCCCGGTGCAACTGGAATGAAGTTCACTTTGCATTTCTGGGTATCACATCCACTGACTTTGTTTTCCAAATCTTTTCCGTGCCATGTAACTTCAACCACTAAATCTTGACTCAGATGGGTGGATGAGTGGTTGTCTTATCTGTTTACTTTGCTTTGTCTGGGTAAGTTGTGGCTTCTTTTATTATGTCTTGTTTGTTTAAGCTTGATATCAAAATGTTTGCCTGGTGTGTTCCTCTTCTCAGAAACCTGTGTACAGAAGTAAAGCTTTATATATTGCAAAATGCACACAAAAACAACTCTAAATTTTGCTTTCTTTTCATAATGGATGCTGTATCTGACTTTTTTTGGGGGGAGGGGGGAAGCAAGCAGGTTCCTGATGTTATGCGTGAATGGACATTCAGAATTCATGACAAACATGGCTTCTTGTGCTTGATTTCTGATTACACACCCTATATACAGTAACAAAGATGCATACTGAAGTGCTTGCTTTAGCTTTTGTTACCCCTAGGGTTTGGACTCATCAAACTCGTAACTCTCTCTGAAATGTAGGTGCTCAGTCTACTACATATGTTTTAAATTGAGGGTAGTTAATTTCTCTGAGATGCTATATGCTGTGAGATCCTCTGCCATAATAGAAGCTAAATTCTTTTAAGAATCACAAAGTGAATACCGTTCCCTAAAATCTTCCCTGAAGTCCTTGTAGCAAGTGCACTGATGAGCTGAGCAGAAGGAAATATAGTCAACAATGTGCTTATCTATTTCCATATTAATTCATGCTAATATTACAGATTGATATCAGGGGAAACAACTGTAGTTCTGTAGGGGTTTTTGTCACTGTTGCTGTTTCTGAACACTTCCCCTGTGCCCCACTGGAAGGCAGTGTGTCGCTGTGCAGAGCACTCGGAGCCCAGTGCTGGGCTGGCAGCCTGCCCCTTGCGCTGGGAAAGGGAAGAGCCTTCCCTGCTGGGCAGGTACAGAGGAGAGAAGTCCTTATTCTCAGATACTTTGAAAAACCTTAGTTGGAAATCATAACTATGCTGTTTTTTTCCTTATTTTTTATTTTCCTGCAGGTTTAGAATAGGTTAAAATTTAAGAACTTAAATTTTATATGGTGGTCACTTATTAACAACACAAATGTAAGAAGATTTATGATCACAAATAGGCCTGTGATGCTCAACAGGCAAAAGAGCCAATGTAAAATGCTCAGAAATGTGTAGGAATATAAGCATGGCTACTACTGATATGTATGTTTCAGTTTGAATGTGCAGGAAATAAGAAGGATGGTAGTGCTTCAGTTGGCTTTTTTTTTTTTTCTGCAGAGTTAAACTGTAAGGGGAGGAAATACTTGTCTTGTAGTTATGATTTTCACGTTCCCTTTAATATGGATGAGTGATTGAAATTCTAATAGTATTTGTACTCATTATTTTCTAGTTTGAAGATCTGAACACAGTGGCTGAGTGTTTGTTTTCTTTGGTCAACGGTGACGATATGTTTGCAACATTTGCTCAAATCCAGCAGAAAAGCACGTTGGTGTGGGTGTTCAGTCGGTTATATCTCTATTCCTTCATTAGTCTGTTTATATACATGATCCTCAGCCTTTTTATTGCACTCATCACTGACTCCTATGACACTATAAAGGTAAAGCATTAGTCTTCCGTTGTACTTCTGACCAGTTTTGTATTTACTTGTGTTCATTGCTCAACACCATAATATCTGGTACTAATTATGATGACTGATTAGAATATTAAAATATTGTATGCTGAACTGGTGTTCTGGAGAGCATTTCCTCTGCCTGGCCGGGGCCTTTGGAATCCAGAATTGTTGTTCCTAATGAAAATGAACCTAGGGCAATCACAGTGAGCACAGTAGCTAACTGGAACAAGGGAGGATTGATGCAAGCATGATTCAAGACTGCTTGCTTGTTCTCACAGTCAGTCAACTAGATGTAAAAGAATCTGGACAATATGAATTTTATGTCACTTTTAGTTTGCTCTGGTCCCACTGCATGTATGGTGTGTCTGGGATGGGATTGTATTTTTTTTCTTATAGATATATTGAATGAATGGAAGAAATCATTAAATCATTTTTTTGACTTTTGTACTCTAGAGGAGACTTGAAAAAACTTAATGCCCAGTAATTTCTGATGTGTTGTAATAGCATGCTTTATTTTTCAGAAATACCAGCAAAGTGGGTTTCCAGTAACAGATCTACATGAATTTCTGAAAGACTGTGGCAATGTTTCTTACAGAAAAGAACAGGCTTCCATGCCATCCATTTGTTGCTGTAGAAGGTTAGTACGGTGTTTCTGGTGAATGTTATTCTCAGAAGTACACCAGCTAGCTTCTCACTATGAAGTGGAGCTTCACAGATGTTGGAGCACCCAGAATTCTGCCCATGGAGTACTTGGGCTCTGTTATCCCTCTCGTGTTTTACTTGGTGTTAGATCTTCAGTCTGCTTGTGGTGAAGGGGAACTTTTCTAAGTTTAAACACACCTTAAGTGTTTTGCTCATGTAAAAGCTACCATGCAAAAACTGGTGGAAGTTGACAGAAGGATGGCAAAGTATAATGTGGAGCTGCCAAAAAGTCAGGAGAATATTACGTCTCTGCAGCTTAGGGTTTAAGTCTTCTGTTTCTAAATAGCTTTTCCACTAGGCTGTGGGAAGTAGTAGACAGCAAGAGGATGTGATTCATCAAGGGACCTGTGCTTAATTATACAGCTATGTTTTATCTGTGAGGCAAACCAGTCCAAGCTAATCTGTCACAATACCAGAAACGCTTCTAAATGTGTGGTTGCCACTAAATTCAAACCTTTGGAGATCCAAGCTGTGGTCCTTCTTAAGCTGGTCTTGGTGAGGTATGAAGATCTCATCTGGTGTTGATCTGGTTTGGAACTCTAAGAACAGAATTCTGTTTCTGAGGAAACCTAATAAACCTCTGAGTGAGTGACTGAAGATAGGCAGCTTCTTGTCGCTGTCACTAGGCAGTCCGGGAGAATTTGTGCTTGTGCACAGAATGATTGTGGGCACATGGTAGGGAAGCCAAGGCTATGGGAGAAGGAATAGTGCTGACTGTGAATTCCTTTTTAGTCCCAACTGGTGTAATGAATCCTTGTTATATACTGAGGCTTTTGTGAAATGCAACCTTATACTTTTGATGTACTCTGGCAGAAAGAAACCCCTTTGCCAAAAAGGAGCAAGTGAGATGATGATGGCAGGTATCCCAGCAGTTGCTGTGGGCATTTGAGGGTTTACTAGTTATGAGAAAACCAGCCAGGTACAGCTGCAGGTTTCACGTCTGACTTTCCATGTAAGCTAAGAGATTCTTGTCTGCTTGAGCATAATAAATATATTTTACTGTAATATGCTGCAGAGTGTGGTGAGGACAGAAGCTTAGTAGCTGGAATGCAAATCTGTAGGTCTTATTACTAAAACAGTTTCTGCTTGATTGTCCCAGTGCAGGTGTTGAAAGCTCTATCCTGAAATGGGAGAGCACAGGGCAGAACGATAAAAATTCGTTGTAGTTTTCTATTGCTTCCTATTCCTTGCTGAATGAAAAATTGTAAACTTTTATTTTGCAGGCGACTGAGTGATGACAACTTAATACTCATTAACTGATGATTCTGCATTGAAATTCACCACTAATGTATGCAAAGAAAGCATAGTTGTATGGAGAATAATAATTCTCCAAATTGCAACGAAACCCACTATCTGGACCTGCTTCGTTGTGAACAGATTAATTGTACCTAATTAAGGTGTTGGGGAAGAAAAGCTGCTAATGTGACCTCAGCTGGCTGACCAGGAAGAGAGCCTAGCTTGGTCTGGAGAAGAGCTGTGAAGAACTGTGTTCTTGCCCCAGGTTTTGTCACGTTAAAGAAGGCTGATCCTTGAGAACTGTCTATGGGAGCTCTGTTTGCTAATCACCTCCAGGAAGAAGAAAAGTGGTGCTGAACCAGCAGTTCTTCTTATTACATTTAAAAATAATTCCACAGTAAAAACAAAAACACATGTACACAAAAATAAATAAAAAGCAGAGTATTACAACTGTTGGCAAGGAAAAGGGAGGAGGCTTTCATTTCACTTCAAGTGATGCATTTAGCATTGAGACTAACTTCTACTTGGCACAATTCATTTCCTTAGAATAAACTTATGTAAAACTACAGAGCTGCAAAAAAGTGCAAAATAATTACTGTTCTCCTTGTATATCAGTTTTAACATAAGCCATTTTTAGATCATTTTTCTGTTTGACAGCTTTACTAAAAACAAAAGTGATTTGTTATCCTTTTTTGGTTGTGAGTCTTCTCTATCATGCTCACAGTATTTGATGTATATATTCTGTCCAAATTAAATTTATTGCTTTACCTATAGATAAACACGTTTTTTACGTAGTTGGAAACTTCCATGGCAAGCATAATGTAAGGAATGATGAAAAGACTTTTTTATTTTTTTTCTTTTACAGGCAATTTGAAATCCTGTCCTTGTATGAGTAAGGTGGGTGGCAGCTTAGTTTGGGGTAAAAAGGAAATGATGCTGGTAAAACTTGTACAAGATCCTGACTTACTGACAGCTGTTCTTACAGAAGACTCATCCTCACAATACTGCATATACTTCCCCCTACAATCTGTCAGGAAGAAGAATCTCAGAGAGAACCAGGAATTGTTGGTAGCAGATAACTGTTGTGTGGGAAAATTATGGTTAAGAATTAGAATCTGGCAAATTCATGCTCCAGTATTGCCTGGTTGTCAGGAGAAAAAAGTTCAACCTTTTGAAAAGGTAAAGCCTTACTAACAGTGTTGTCCAAAGCTCCTGCTCTTGTTAACAGCACTACTTGTTTACCTAAAGTAATTCATAGATATAAAAGCCTGACTTGCTGTCCTTGAGCAAAGGTATGAAAAGTTCAGTTACATTTCTCTGATAGCTTTGGTAGTGCTTGGTAGTGGTACCTATTGCTTTGGTTGTTATCCTCCTTCTGTGTGTCTCTGCTGACAGAACAACAAAAAGCATTTTACAGATGTTTATAAACGTCTTGTTGGGGATGGTTGTTGCCTGTCTCCAAGCTTATAGCTGTCCCAGGTCTTGGCTAGTGCTGGGTATCAACCAGCCATGCCCAGTGCCTGAGCTGTGGCGCAGGACCTCCAGCGCTCTCACTCGGGCTGCTTCTCACTGACTTGGTCGGGCATTGAGTGTGACCTGCTGGAGCCACAGCCCAGGTAAATAGTTGTTTGTGAGGGAATCCTCAGGGAATGAGGGTACGTATTATCAACTGAAGGAATATAGAAAATGCTTATTGTTCTTACTGTTGATGCTCAGATTTAATTTCTATAATGGAATCACAAAGCTTTCTTGTCCTGTATTGATGTCTTTTTTAATTATATGAGCTGCTTGCTAGCTGGACCACTGCTTCAGCCCTGCCTTATTAGAACAGGTCACTAATGTATTTTAGAAACCAATTTGTGTTTTCACCATCTGGTGGTTTTTCATTTTTATTTTTTCTCTTGGAAGAAAGATAAGAGCCAGTTGCTGGAGCTCCTCATTGGCTTTCTGTTCCACCAAGGTTGAACTTAAGAGGAAATCTGGCATATGGTGACCCTTACTTCTGTGCATTAGTGCGGGCTTGAATGCAGTTGCTGATTGACAGGTGGTCCCTCCTCAGCTGTTAATGAAGCGATGCACTGTAATGGAAGCAAGACCTGAATATAAGTTTTTGCAAAGTGTCCTGAAAGCAAGCTGTTACTTTTGCTTGTCTTGTTCCCTGGGAATAAAAAACTAATTGCATGTAAGGCTCAACAGGAGAGAAATAGGCGGGAAGGCAGTGAGAAGGCTGCACTAAAGAAAAGGGCAGGAAGGAGTAGAAGGTAGCTTCTTGAGTCGTCTTCAAGGTGAGCATTCAGGGGAGGGAGGATGGTGTGGGATAAGACTCAGGGCTCTTAGTTTGGGGCCTTCTATTCATGGATAAAATGGGGGAAAAGCTGCTGCAGCAGAGGTTGCATGCTGTTCTGCATGTGAAGTTAACGTGCAAGGCTCCACCCAGTCTTGAACACTAGGATTTATGTTGTACTTGTGACTGGGTTTTCTGCAGAGTGGGGCCGAGATTTTCTTCTGCCGGTTCTCCTGCAGCTGGGAGCAGACACATCAGTAGCTCTGCACAGCACGCACTGGCCTGGTCTCGGTAACCTGTCCAGGTAGGTAGCACTGGACAGACCAAGCAGCTTGCAGTCCTCAGGTAAATTTCATCTTGTAACTTTGTAACTTTCACCTTCTGCACTTGAGCTTGGTTTGTCCTTTGTGGCAAAGCTGTGTGGGCCAGGTCCTGCCCTTGGGAGCTGACTGAGCCTCACGCTTTCTGTATTGCTGTACAGATACAGGGTGCTTCTGTTTGCCCGTTTGCCTAAATACGGGCACATGTGAGGTGGGGGGCAGCAGCCGTGCACCTGCCCCGGCCTACTCTGAGCTGCTTTCCATGAGCTTTCCTCTAGCTCCCCGCGGCCAGGGGCTGTCTGGGCACCCCCACAAGGGGCTCTTGGTGCTCCGCGCCCCTCAGCCGCCTCCCTGGGAGCCAACCCCGGCCGCCCCTCGCTGTCCGCGCCTCAGCAGGGCCCCTCCAGGAGGGGGGGCCGGGCCGGGCCGTGCGGGCAGCGCCGTACGGGTTAAGGCGGCGCGGGGCGGGCGGCGGGCAGCGGGCGGGCCGGCTCGGGGCGGCGGGCGCGGCGCTCCGGAGGCTGCCGGTGGGTGAGTTTCGGCGGGGCTGCGGGCACGGGGGGCAGCGGCGGGGTGGCTCCGTCTCAGGCTGGACCGACGTCGTGATTTATGAACTTTTATTTTTCACTTATTCGGTCAAAACCGCCCTGTCTGCAGCTTTATTAAACTCGCGCTTATGCCGCAGCCTCTCCTGTTTGCGAGCGTCCGCCCCGTGCCGCCGGGCAGGGGTCGGGGGCTCCCCGGTCCCCTCGGGTTACCGGAGGTGAAGCGGCCGGGGACCGCCCGCTGCTGCTGCACACCCCCGGGGCTGCGCCTCTGCCCCGTGCAGCCGGCAGCAGGCACGGCGTGCGGGTGGTTCCTTAGCACCTGGTTTGTAAGGTAGGGTCCTAACCCGTGTGCAGCTCTGAAAAACGCGGAGACGCGACTTTGTGGTGTGTGTTCCGATCGTTTTTTCCTCAAGGAAAAAGAACGAGCGCCTTTATACCTCGGCGTCGCGCAGGTAGGTCTGTGCTGCCGATCTGGAAACCAGCGCTTTTTGTTACGGGCTGGGAACGTGCGCTGCTGGAGCTCGTTTCGCCAGCCTATCAACGGTTTGTGGTTTCTTCCGTGCTCTTAAAGTCCTCTAAAAGCTTTAGCAGAAAGCACAACTCAAATCCAGTTATGTGGGGAAAGATTTGAATTCGCGAAGTTTATCTGTGTGCTGAAAAGAGAAGAAGCTAATGTGCACAGTCGGAAAGGACGTGGCTTTTATCAGCAGAAAAGCTGAAGGATGCATTTGGCTCTTTGCAGAATGCCGGGCGGTAGTTCTGGACGAGCTCAACTAGTTGTATCCTCCTCTGCTGCTATGACCACCTCAAAGCCCCCTCTGGCACAGCCCTTATGCTATCAGGGAATGAAATAAGGTCTCTGAAGGGTAAGACAGCATAAAGAATATATTCCATAAAAGTGATTTCTCAGGTAGTTGGTCTTCAAGATTCTTATGCCTGGATTAATTCTACATTTTTATTTATTTATTTTTAAGTGATTAAGTCCACTTTAATGTGCCTAGCAAAGTGTTTCTTGGAACCCACTATTTCTTACCACTTCCACTGAAGTGAATGCTTGCAAACCATGTCTCTGAATCTGTTAATAAATCAGATGCGGGCAGGTGGCTTTTCCTAATGAGCAGTGTGCTGAAAATTAGAAATGAAAGTCCACTTGCTTGTGAATGTGCTGAAGGGGTCTATACTTCCAGTGTACGAGTTTTGTGAAAGACTGATGTGTTGGGCTGCAGAAATGGATCTGTTGGTGATCAATGAGTTGATGGGAAGGTTCTGGAGAAACGACAAACTTAGTTTATAAGCAGAACAGGTATTTTCTTCCAGGCATGTTTCACAATGTAAAGGCTGTTTGAATGGCTTTGAAATACTTTAAATACTGTGTCTGTTTCCGCATTATAGGATGACCTGCCAGCTCCTTCCAGAACCACACTTAAAGGAGGCTCTAAATGAAAGCTTTGCAGTGAAGTTTTTAGTTTGGACTCCATATATAGATTTAGTAAACCATAATTTCAGAAAGTCTTAAATTACCAAAGTCTGAAGTCTAAACTTGTGGTAACTAGTGAGTTACTTAGTAGCTGCCCCAAACAACTTCTTGTAGTGGATGGGAGCTTTAAAAAGACCTCTGGTGCAGTGGGGTAGCTGTGCATTAAAAGGGATGCCAGGAGCTGGAGCCTGAGCCTTTTCAGGACTTGGTGTAGGTGACCCTGTGCTTTACAGCCAAGCTGCCCGCACTAGGCTGCCACGGCTTGCTGGGGACCAGCACTGTCACAGACTTGCACAGGGTGCCCCCATAATGATTTTTAAGCCTCTTATCAGTCTTTGTGTACAAGGCACTGTGGTCTGTGGAAGCAGGTACTGTTTCCTGACCTTACAATTTAAATATTTAGTTCAGAGCTCCTAAAATTTTGGAAGGTTTAATACCTTAAGACCCTTTGTCTGTACCCCCCTATCCTGTGTACAGTACCAGGGCTATCTGATGAGTAATGAAGCCTTAGATGTTTCCACCACCAATACGTAGGAGTTGACAAATATAGAAGTAATTCAGAGAGATGATTTATGCTTCTCAGAAATATAACATGCTTAAAGAATCATCTTGACTTCCCTCCTCCCGGCTCCTGCCTGTCTTATTCCAACCTATGCTGTCACTAAAATGGACTGTTACTGGAAGTGGCCAGAACCCTGGTGGAAGCCTGAGCGTTTCCATCAAGTTAACGTTATGTGGATGAAGCTGGCTTGGAGTGGAAATGGATGTGGCACTCTGTTCTTATTCTAAAAAGAGCTGAAGACCAAGATAACAAGATAATGCTGCTTGTGCATGCTTGATTTGAGTTCACAGTCAATTATCTAAAATGGGGGATACTTATGTTATGAAGAAAAATAAATATGGCCAACCACAGACAGAAATGGATTTCTGTAATAATAAATTCTCTGGATTCAAGAGCTTACTCATTAAGCCTTATACCTTTATTTATAATCTTTTTATTTATTTATTATTATTATTGTACTTTTAACACTGAATTAAAAAGAATGGCTTTTAAAAAGTACATTCTTAGTGCCTGGAAAAGTGGGCCATGTAGCAGCAGTTCCAAGTACAGGCAGTGCCCACAGAATTTCCCTAATAAACCAAATGTAAAACAGTTACTTCTGAGATAATTTTTCTCCATTAAACCTGCCAAATAAATGCTGGTTTCCATTGCATCCTCTAATGGTACCAGATAAAGTTCTTGGTTTAGAGCCTGAGGACTCAGGAATAACATTGTTCTTTATGCAGCAGAAACTGACGACTAAGAATGAGGATTTAGGGAAAAACTTCTTTTGTCTGTTTCTCTGAACTGACTTTTGTATAATACTAATTAACTACTAAAGACAATTCAAAGTGAACCTAAGAGCTTACCTCACCAAATTCCTTCTTACAGTTACATATTAACATTTTTGGCTTCGGCTCTGATACACACCCTTTTCAGCATTGGTATTTCTTTCTCTTTAAGCTGAGGCAACCTGAATGGGTTTCTTGGGTTACTGCGCAATCATTTGGCTGTGTTGTTTTCCTCCATGGCCATGCATGTGTTCAGGGTGTGGAGGGGAACAAGGAACCGATTCCCTTTCTGGACGGGTAAACTGGCACTACTGGTACACGTAGCCTGGCTGCCAAGTGCTGGCCCCCTTCTGCTGCCATCAGTGCCTCTGTGGATCCAGGTGAGAAGGAGCTTCAGTGGCTCGGAAAGCAAGAGGGCAGGGATGCTGGCTGTCCAGAACAGAGGAGGGGGCTGGAGGTGCCCTCACGGGCCCATGGGGCAGGCAGGAGTGCAGCTAATGGGGTCATCTGTGAGTGTCCAGGCCCTCCTGGACTAGTGCTGCTGCACAGCCACCTGCTGCCAGTGGGACTTGTGTTTTAACTTGTCCTCAGCTGGATCTGCAGTAGAGTGTTTCTCTGCAGTAACAGACCGGGTGCAGGATCCAGAGTGGGGGATTTCAAGCAGCTTGCCTCCTTGCTACACCAGAGGTGCTTGTGACAAGGGGCCATACGACCCCTGCACCCTGCAGAGATGCTGCGTGACAGGCCCGAGGTGCCTGGCAGAGGTCTGCCTACTGCTAGGGCCAGGGTTGGGGCCAGGCTGCCCTGCCTGGTGCATGGCCCTTGCTGCCCACCCAGCCTGGCCTGAAGCTGAAGTTCAGCTCCTGTCCTCTCCCCACAGCTCACATGCTCCCACCCTGGTGCATCCTGCAGCATCCGGCCAGCAGTCACTCTGAATCCCCCAAACCAATGCCAGCTTTGCAATAAGGTTGTGGCAAACACGTTGAAACAGCTTGGCTTTTAATGGACAGGAAAGGCAGTGAGGCAGTGGTGTGTGCTGTGAATCACGCTGTGGCTTGCAGGCTAAATGTTATAATGACCCTCTCATTAAAATCTCTCACTGAAATGCTATCTGAGTTTTCCCTTCAGAACAGGCTGCATTAGTGATGAGAACCTCCTTGGGAGTGACCTACAGGCCGCGCTAGCTTTGAGTCAAAGTGATTTAAAAGGTGATTTTAATCACAGTTTGAATCGGCAAAATCATTTATTTAAATAACCGGTACTAATTTTTCTGTAAATATGCATGACTTTTGTAACTTTCTTGAGGCAAACCCTTTTCTAATTGGATAATGACTCTTACAGTGTGTTGATTGGCAACCAGCTGAAGCTTTTGTCTGAAACTTCCACGTGATAGTTTATTTTAGTAACCCTTTGTTTAAGTAGCTAGCATGCTATAGTAGTAGAGACTCAGGCAAATTCTTGGAAACAGTGAAGGATATTTTCTGGCTCAGGGTGTCCCTGTCCCTGGCAGGGGGTTTGGAACTAAGCAGTCCTTAAGGGTCCCTTCCCACATAAACCATTTTTTGATATGATACAAGTTGTGTTCACAAAAAAAAAAAAAGTAAAATCAATTCAAATATGCAAGCTGTCTAGAAGACAAGAGAGCTGAAGGTGCATTGGAATGAGAAGCACGTGTGCTTTTTCATTTGCAAGCTGTTTAACTGAACCAAATCCTCTGAGATTTTTTGAAGCAGACAACTTCTCTCCCTCACTACCTCTGGCACTCTGAGTAAGAATAGGAAGAAATAGTTCATCAGCTCCTGGTATTTGTAGTCACAATTAGCTGAACTGAACTAATTAAATAGGCTGACACAAGGAAAAGAACCTTTATGACAAGGGCAAAAAGGCACTGGCATTGTCGAAGTTTTGATGTCTTCACTTGCGACTGACTTGGAACAAGCAAATAGTGTAACCCACCTGTGGAATATAGGATAGATGGTTATTGTCACTGAGTTTTTGGAGAGAGCGGTTGTGGTGGAGCTCGGCTGCCCACCTGAGTAAAACCACCACAATATGGAGCTCTATAAAGCCACGAGTGGCACAGAGGTGGTGAGTGGAGGTAGTTTGTCCTCTCCCATAAAAGCAAGAAGTATCAAGCTGGTGAGAGCCACTTCAAAAATAAAAGGTCTAGCTGTTTTTCTACTACTTCAGTTTCTATTAATTTTATAACTTTGGCAAACTATATTATGCCTGATTTTTTTCAAATATTTGTTTAAAAAATTAATAAATCTGAGCTTTGTTTTTCTTCTCAATTTTAAACCTGCTGTAAGGAAAAAGGTCTTCAATTTGACTGTGGAAGTGAAGACCTGGAGAGTAAAGTCTTGCAATGTGTTAATCTATGCCACGCTGGGAAATACGGGATCTCCTCTTGCACATTCGTTGTGCCTGGTGTGGATTGGTGCAGGGCTATTGAGGATACAGCTGCCCTGGGGCTGTGCCAGTTCTGCTGTAAGGATACAGACGTAAAATGAAGGTGTGAGATAGTCATGCTCTGGATGAGCCCTGGAGTGAGGAGTAGTGCTCGCTCTATGTAGGCCGGTACAGACAGTCCTGTGCTCTGCGGTACTGGGATGCAAGCTAGCTCCAGTTCAGCTACAGCTTGGATGCAGCCTCTGTCCGGACATCTCCAGAGTCGACCCTGTGACCTTCAGACCTTAGCCAAATGCTTTCCTACTCCCTTCCTGCTTTATCTCAGCATCAGAAGACATCACTTTCAAAGTCATTTGCCGTTTGAGCTCTGCTGAGTGACAGTGTACTGTGATTATTTTGGAGGAGAATTACTGATAGGTGATTTTTATTCTTTTTGGGGGTACTATTTTAAATGAGCATGGCATTTCAGTAAACTGAAGTATTCAGAATAAGTTCACAGTTGATATTATTGATTTCTTTAAGCTTGTTGCCCAGATAAAATGTAATAATGTGTCTGCAGATGTCTTTGATCTCTTGTCACTGCAAGCAAGAGATTCATCTCTTGAGATAATTACACAGTAAGATACATGTTCAGAAAACCTTCCCTGTAATTTTCACAGATTTTTTTTTCTTTTTCTCCTGCTACTCTTGCCCAAAATGCTACTTCTATATGCAGGCACTTGGGTTGTTCTTTAAAAGCTTCCTGCCAAGCTCAGCAAGTCCTTTACTGCCTCGGTGGGCAAGACCAGAGCTGCCTGGGCTGGGCAGGGTTCCCAGCTTGAGTAGCTGTTGTCCACAGCTGCTTAGGGACTTCTGGTTGCTTACAGATTTAATTGCATCGTGTTCTTCTGAACACTTTAAGTGAAAATGGGGAATTTACTGACTGCCCAACTTTACTGTGCTGCTTTGAGCTGGGAGAGGTAGGTACCAATCTCTAGTTGACTCCTGATGGTGGTTCTGAGTTCCTGAGGCTTCTTTATTTTTAGACAAAGGGATGCTCTGTAATATTTCAGTACAAGGGATGATTTACTTGTTTCCTTCCACTTCTTATCCTTAAACAGCTGTTCTTACTTCTGGCTATATACTTGAATTTGATGCTTTAAATAAGAGATTCTTGTATAAAAGAAGCAGTTGCCTAGGTTCTTGAGGGTAAAAAAAAAAAAAAAAAAAAAAAAAGAAAAAAAGGACATCAACATCAAGTAGCCTGCCTTCATGCTGATTACTAGATGTAGGGTGGAAACCAGGAAAGGCTAAAAGGCCAGTTCAGAAAAATGAAGTATGCAACAAATTTTCACTTAGCTGCAAATACTAATCACAGAATAGTATGATTTGATCTAAAGTTAGATGATACGAATATTGTGTGAGGGAAATAACAACAGTAGCATAACGTAAATCACAGAAGACAAACCTTTTATCTTGAAGCTCAGAAAGAATCTTTAACGTAAATGTGGATTGTTAGCCAGCCTGCTGGGGGTTGCTTAATTTGCTTCTTGCTCTCCAGAGAGATGAGATACCACTGCTAGTCCATTATTAGCCTGTGGTTACCTAAGTGTACTTGATCTTTATCTGTGATCAGTCTTAGCGGTAGAGGTGAGAAGTGTAGGGCTTTTCTTGCATGTGCCCATTTTCTGCCTGTGCCCATTGCATCTGTTCTTTCCATCCTTTCAGCCCCGCTCAGCCTGCTGCTCTGGCACTCAGCGCCCTGAGACTGCAAGGAAGTTGCCAAAGCTGTCAGCCTTGTTCCTCCAACAGCACTGCATCCCCAGCCACCTCCTGTCCTCAGGCAGGCATGGATTTCATGCTCTGTGTGGTGTCTGCCATGCCTAGGGCCTTACGCCATGGTTGGGATCCTGGGTTTGGCAGAAATTACACAGTATTTGTTAGCAAAGTCAAGGTTAAAACACTTAGGTCCTGGCAGTGAATGTGAGGGCTCATGGTGATCAGACACACGCCTGCTACCAGGCTGTGAGACCCTGCACAAGGCCTGCTCTCCCTGAGCAGCTGCTGTCAGAGATTGCTGACATTCTCCTTGTGGAGAAGCTGCAGTGTGCTGTCTTCTGGTCACCAGAACTGCCCCTCTGTCACGTCTAATAGCCCCATGTCCACAGCAGTGCTGAGCAGATGTCAGAAAACAACCCTGTGCTGCTGCTCTTCCTGGGCCATTCTTTATCCTGTGGTTGGGTACGGAGCTGCGTTTTGGTTTTGAAGATAATTGGTGTGTGTGTGCTGCTCACAGCACTCTGGGTTGACAGCCCAATAAAACAATCTGTGGCTTCAGTGAAGACAAATATGTACAGTGTTTTTTTCACTCTTCAGCACATTTATTTGAATCTTGTAGCAGTAAATAAGAGGCATGTGTTCAGAATATATATATCCTTAGCATTTTATATACATACGTTATTGCATTCATTAAAATATAATTTTTTTAAAAAAGCTTTTTTTTCCCAGTAATAAGCTTTTCATTGCTTAGTCAGTAAAATGGAAGAGTTATGATTTATGCTCTGCTGTCCTGACTGGATGCACTGAGAAATGGAAATAATGATGGGGCTGTGGCTCAAACATGGGATTTCACAGTAAGAAAGGCCTGGCTGTAGCTCAGGCTTTCTTTGTGACCTCCACTTTTAACCTCATAACTTCCACATTGTTGCTTGCACAATGTGACTGCTCGTGCAAATGGACTGCTGGCTGTTTGTAAGCGGGTAAGACTTGAAAAAAAATCCTCATTCATGGAAGCATCATTAATTGCAGTCCTTTGGAGGACAGAATATCTCCTTCTGCGCTAATAAATTGTACAATGTGAATTTTTACTTCCAAAAAGTTTCCAAATTCATGCCCCCCTCCACCACCACCCTCCCTGCCCCCAAGGGAAAAAAAATTACCCCAACGTGTTAAGTATGGTAATCTGAGCAAGGACCAATAGTTAACTTTAATTCTTTCTCTTTCCCCTTCCACCTTTCCTAGGATGCAGGGGTTGTAATCCAGGATGAACGAATGCTACTATGATAAGCGCATGGACTTTTTTTATAACAGGACAAATACTGACACAGCAGATGAGTGGACAGGGCCAACACTTATTGTTGTTCTGTGTTTTGGGACATTTTTCTGCTTCTTCATTTTCATTTCAAACTCATTGGTCATAGCAGCTGTGGTCAAGAACAAGAGGTTTCATTTTCCGTTTTATTATCTGCTGGCCAATTTGGCAGCTGCAGACTTTTTTGCTGGAATTGCTTATGTCTTCTTGATGTTCAACACTGGCCCAGTGTCTAAGACGTTAACTGTAAATCGCTGGTTTCTGCGCCAGGGTCTTCTGGATACCAGCCTTACAGCTTCCCTGGTGAATCTCCTCGTCATAGCTGTTGAGCGGCACATGTCAATCATGCGGATGAAGATCCACAGTAATCTCACAAAGAAGAGAGTCACCTTTTTAATTATATCGATTTGGGCCATTGCTATTTTTATGGGCGCTGTTCCTTCCCTGGGTTGGAACTGCCTCTGTGACATTACTGCCTGCTCTTCCCTGGCACCTATTTACAGCAGAAGTTACTTGGTGTTCTGGAGTGTCCTAAACCTCGTTGTTTTCTTCATTATGGTGGTGGTTTACATAAGAATCTACATGTATGTCCAGCGGAAAACTAATGTTTTATCATCGCACACTAGTGGATCCATTAGCCGCAGGAAAACCCCTGTGAAGCTTATGAAGACCGTCATGACTCTCCTAGGTAAGAGGCTACCAACCATATGGAGCAAGGCTGGCAATGCCAATCAGTGTTTATTAAAAAATAAAACTCCCTAAACTTGTAAGTGGTGAAGTCACTTAGCCTTCTGTCTAGCTTAAACAGTGAAATCAATGTTGCACGAAACAAATGCAAAGCAGAGGGCCAGTTGGCAGCATGTGGAAGAGATGTGTCTCTGGTAAATGCTCACACAGCTTGTTAAAAATGCGAGCTGTCCCTCGTTTGTTGCAGGGGATGGGGAGGTTACAGAATGGCTGTAGAAGACTTATGAAGGTTCACTTCTACCTAGAAAAACTCTTTCAAAATAATGTTCTTTAATATGTGCACAAGGCCCCGAATCCTGTGGCTGTATGTGAGTAGCTTTGTCTGTACTTCTTCCTCTTGTCTGTTTCCTGAATTTACTGAACATTTACCTTCACTGGGGAAAAGAAGGATGCCTGGTGGATCTGTAACGTTTTCCTGTGGATCTGTATCGTTTTGCTTTGTAGGAGGAGAATTTGCCTCTGTTTTGTAAAGATTGCATACTGCAAAGTACTTTCAGATGGTGATATGGTACAGCCTTTGATCTTTAGATCAGAAAATGAGATGTGACCTAGATTTCACCCTAAGGAAACTTTGGTTATCTGAGCAGCTCAGATCACTTCAGTTAGTTGTGATGTAGCTGCTTATTAAATAGAGGCACACAGAGTGGATGGTTGATCGCTGGAAGAAAGCACTAGCTGCTGAATTTTCAGACGGTATGGGCAGTGAACATCTCCTAGTGGAGTAGTGAGCACCTGTAGGATAAAGTCCAAGGACCAGAACAAAGCCCTTCTCCAGATGTAGTTATTTACACTTGTTTCTTGAGGCAGCATGAATCTGTTCCTGTTCCTCCTTAGGCATTGAGAAAAGAAATAAACCCAACTTCAAGTTTCATGTTCTTCCTTTCAAATCATTTCTTTGTTTTTGTGGGGACAGGGGCCTTTGGGCTGATCTAAAGATTGGGTTTTTAGCCACCAGATTAAACTATAATTCAGGCAAAGCATTTGATGATAATACTTCCTGGATCAGGCAAATTTAACTTAGTCTGGGTGCTGCTTTGGAGGTTATAATTTTGTATTTTTACTTTGCCAGTCAGAAATAAAATCAGAACAGTCTGCTTTCATAGAAGTCGAATGAGTGCATATGTCAATGGGTACAAGATGTACCCCAAAGTCCCATGTCAGATGAATTGTCTCTTGGCTTGTTCCTTCTCATCAATTTTACAGATATTGACTCTGTGAAGCTTTTTGTAAATATTTATTTATAGGAATGAGAATTTATTTCATAGAACAGCTTGAAATGTGTATTCCTGGCCTAGTCATTCAAGCGCAATATGCAAAAAGCATCAGAAACTGGATTGTCATGTTTTATGGCCTTCTTCATTACCAAAGGAACCCCCAAGTGACCACGCTGGTGCTTACAAACTGCTCTTACATCCACTTATGCAACAGCCTATAGCTATATGCAGCAAGTGGGCATGGGGTTTTCAGCTCAAGGCAGTTACTTTCAGTGGCTTATTCTTAACCATCTGAAGATGCTTTGCAGTAAATGGCCAGTATGGTCTCAACTAAAAGCTATTACAGGAAGCGCTGTTGCTGGAGGAAGCACAATGAGAACGAGAGTGCTTGTTAACTTGCTGTATTGATGTCATGGTAGGTTCATAGTGTTGGCATACTGAGAGACAGCTTTGATGTGGATTTTTAAGGCATGGTGCCACCAAAGCATCAGTAGTATGTCTAGGTACGCAGGAAGCCATTAATTTTTAAGTAGAGATGATGTAATCTACAAGAAAATCCATGTTTGAAACTAGTGGTAAATCCTCAAATTGACCTTGAGGCGCTCTGATTCCTGATGTCCCATAATCCGGTGTGAAGTCTCAGCGCTGTTCTTCCGATTCATGTTGCAGCCAGGCTGTACTTCATGTCACTCACTGAATTGTAGAGTCCCAGAAATGAAATTATTTTTAAAGCATGGCACTTTATCAGAGAGAGGAGCTTCTACGGGATAAAAAGTCTGCAAAGAAGATTGCCGAAGGGCTGAGACAAAGGTTTATATTTATGTTTAACCATGGGTCCCTCTCAAAGTTCTGTGGTAAAAATAGCAAAATCCTAGAAAGACTGCAAGTCTGAGCCATGGCTTGCTTTCATCAGTGCCACACTGTGAGTAGGGTGTGAATTGCTTGGTGACAGCAGAATGTGTTTTGGATGGAGTTGAAGTAACAGCCCTGTGAACTGCAGCACTGCCCCCTCCTCATTGTTGCCTGTGGAGTGGGTGCAGCCTCCCAGCAGGGGAAAATAAAAGGTTCTGTGTGCAGTCCTCTGGGTGCCAGAGAGGCCTGCAGATGTTATCCCACCATACTTTTGCCATTGCAACCTTGATAGGGCTCCCACAATGTCTCCTGAGAGTTCGTGGACTAATCCTGCTTGTGAGGTCAGGGTTTTGTTTGCAGGAAAGATTTCTTTGTGGTTTTTGTTAAATGTGGTTGTGGGGTCCCTTTCCTGTCCTGCTGACCTCCATGAATGCAGGGTTGGACCTTGCATGCTTTGGTAGAATTAAAAACTAATAATATTAAAAAAGACAGATGATTAGAATGCTTTCTGTGCGTATTCTGAGGAGGGTTTGTTACCATATTAATTTCTGCATGGAGGTGGTGTGTTGACAACTTTGTCAGTGACCTTTGGTGGCTGGCAAAAGCATCCTGTCCAAATTCTTGCTGAGGCACTCATGTAGACACAGCCATGTCTGGGTGGTCTGGTTCCAGCGCTTGTTACAGTGGGTGGGATTTGCCCTTGAACTCCAGGGCCATAAATCAGTAGGATGTTTTCTCCTGCAGCCTGTAGGAGGGAGCTGGTGTCACGACTGCTTACTCAGCGTGGTGGAGCCAAACCAGCGTGCAGCATAGCGTGGAGGCTGGCCAGGGAGAGCGTGTGCTGTGGTCGCAGCTTGCCACTCCTGGTGCCAGTGGGTATTGGAGGAATGTCACTGATGTTGACCATTAACTCAAAACTAACACCATGAAATTGGTACTTAGCATCACAGACATCTTGCTACAAAAGAAAATGTAAAAAATGCATTTCCTGAAGGAGGTGGTCTCTCACCTTTCCATTCTGTGTAATTCTTCCTGGAACGCAGTAAATGCATCAGTTGGATTTATTCTGGACTCCTTACGAAGCTCTTTGTAAAAGAGGCATCATTTTGCAACAAGGTCTGTGTGGTGTTGTACTGTCTGTTGCAGCAGCCAGTGTCACATTGATTTGTTTTTTATCCTGTTAGGGCCTGTGGTAGGTGGGCACCATGACCCCTGAACTCCTTAGCAGGGGTAAGTGTGTGTGCCCCTGAACCCAGGCCAGGCGCACACAGCCAAGGGGATGCCCGTGGTGCTGCCCAGCTGGTGTCCTGCTGCTAACCAAGCTCTCCCGCCGGGCTGGGCATGGCTTGGACATGGGAAAATCAGTGGCCTCAAGAAAAGGAGCACAACCAAAACTGTTGAACAGATACCAAGACTCCCAGGAGAGCTTTATAGCATGTAGCTGCTGCCATCCTTATGTGTTTGATTATTTTTCAAGCCCCAAAAAGGGGTGCTATGCTTCTGTAAATGATTGGAATTTGCTCAGTACGTTGTTTGAAATGTGACTGCTGCACAGAGTTGTAATTTTCTATTTCAGTACATCAGGCAGCAATTGTGGCTTGTGCTAAGTTAGCATTATCGTGCTCTGGGCTGCTTTCTCCATGGGCTCCCAGGCGAGGACCGAGAGGCTGGTGGTGCCACGGGGGGCAGCTGGGGCCAGGAACCTCCCAAACCCGGGGTTGCGACCAAACACCCCAGTGTTGTCCTCCCACCAGCCTCACTCACACTCAAGGAGATGAGAGCCCTGCGGCTCTAGGGCTAGTCCTTTGTCTTGTTCCCCAAACCACTACTTTCCTACTTCCTCATCTTTTTGTTTTTTCTTTTTATTATGCACTTTGCTGCATTTCTTTGCCCTGGCTGCCACAGCCTTGTTTTATCTTCACTGCCTCATCTTCTTCTTTCTCTGTTCTCCTTTACAAGCGGTGGCAGTGATGGCCACACAGTGATGCCACAAGGGTGGACATCCTCCCCTCCAGCATATGAGATACATGAAGAGAGGACATCTTCTCTGTTCAAAGTGCTAGCTGTGTGCTCCAGAGATCCTGTTTATTTACCAGAGTCGACAAATTGTTGTGAGGACCTTTCCCGACTTATGTTTGAGGTGATGTTGACAGCAGCTGGATTCTCATTCCCTGCCTGCTTCTGAGGGCTTTGTGCTCTGGGCCTGGCAGAGAAGCTGTAGCAGACGCCATTTTGCTACTGTCACTAGTATTTTGTCCTCTCTGGCTTTCTTAATTTTTGAGTAATTTTTTGATGAACAAACTAGTAAGATGTTTAAAAATCAACAAAGCCAGAAGTCTGTTTTTTTTTTTAATTTTTTTTTTTTTCCTTTTCTCTCTCTCCTTTGTTTCCAGGTGCCTTTGTTGTCTGCTGGACTCCTGGACTGGTCGTCTTACTGCTTGATGGTCTAAACTGCACCTACTGTGGGGTTCAGAATGTGAAAAGGTGGTTTCTTCTTCTGGCCCTGATGAACTCCGTCATGAATCCTGTAATTTATTCGTACAAAGATGATGAGATGTGGAGCACCATGAAAAAGATGCTTTGCTGCTCGTCTGATGATAAGAGCCAAGAGAGACGCTCGTCACGGATTCCCTCCACCGTGCTTGGCAGGAGCACGGACACCACAGGGCAGTACATTGAAGATGGTATTATTCAAGGGACGATTTGTGGGAAAGGAGATCTTAATGATAAAGGAAACTCCTGAGTAATTCAAGGGCCTGAGTTGGCTAAGAAAAGGAGGGGGAAGGGAGAAGTTTTGTAAGAGAAGATTGACTAGCAAAACTGGTAAACAATATATCCACTTAATTCCAGAGCCTCAACTCCAGTGTTAACAAAAGTTCATATAAGTAATTGCCTAATGGAAAAACACTTTGTAATGAAGAAAACTTTCTGTGCTTCTTTTTCTTTTAAGTGCCTGAAATTATCTTTTTTGTGAATGGAACAAGTATATCTGAGAGACTTTCTGTGTGTGGAAACAAAACGTAAACAGCATAGTGAGGTCCTCCAGTGAATGGCATTTGTGCTTTGAACAGTTTCTTGAGGAGGATTGTAGGCTTGGTTAGATGGGATTGTGGCCTCTTCGCTTTCCCTGTTTACAAGTTCATACTTCTCTTGTCCTCCTCCTTCTCTTGCTTTCAGGATAAGTAGTTTTATGGTTTATTAAAGCTGTGCCAGAAACTCAGCTGTGATGGGAAGACCAAATACCAATGTGTGTGTATAAAATTCAGCCATAAAGCGTCAGGATCTGACATTACAAAGTGTACAAAAGCCATTATTACAGGCCGATGAGTGCTGCAAGGAGACACGTTGCACACTTTGCTGCTGTCACGTAGGCAGCTGTGGAGGGTGGACTACGAGTAAGGCAGTGCTTATTAAGCCTGTTTCTTACTTTCCCAGATAATGTCAAATGGGTGTCTCACCCTTCTTTGTGACTGCTGTGCCACTGAGCAAAATGATGCCTGAAACCATGTTGTAAGATAGCAAACTTATAAGGGGTATTTAAATGTACATATGATATATACAGGCTCAATTAATTAATTTAAAATAGAAATTAATTAAAGAAAAAAGCCTGAAAACAACTTAAACTCCTACAAGAATACAATATGAATTGATCATCTGACCTCGTCTGGACCACATTTAACCTCTGATTTGCAAGCAAGTCTTAAGGGAAGATGCTTGAAGAGGCTATGAAACAGCAAGTGATGAAGGACTTTCAGCATTGTGACTGATCATGTGCAGTGTGCGTGCGGTCGCAGCCATCCAAAAAATGAAGTTTAGACTTATGGACTATGATCTAATGGAGGATCCAGCAATTTAAAGCTCCAGGGTAACGTTTTTAAATCATAAACTTTTAATTTAAAAATTTGAATGTGGATTTCTCAGTGGTCTAAGAACCTGTCTCTTGCTGTTTGATTTCAACAGCAGTGAGCTCCCTGCTCCCCCTTCCTAATTTCAACAGGAGTTACCTGTGTTGTCCTACAGAAAACTTGATCCCTGGTACTAAATCAGGCAATCACATGCAGAGACCATGTGGAATTGTTGGAGAACATCAAGAGCATATTGTACAAGGCCAGAAGATAATCTGTGGTTTGGTTTGGGCAAATTCTTTTGGCACAATTTGCTTGCAGATCATCTGGATCGTGCTGGTTGAAGCAGAACCAGTGCATGGCTTAAAGGCCAAGTTGCAGTTTTATAGAAGTCACTGGGGGATTTGGGAGCAGGCCTTGGTTTACGAGCACAGTAAGCCCAGAGAGTTCCCCCGTAACACAAGTTAGGTAGCATGGGTATGGCCTAACATTTCATAGTAAATGCTGTATTTATGAGTAATGCTGGAAAGGTTTACACATGTGGTATTGTTGTTGGTTTTGTTTTTGGCCATTATAATGCAATGTTCTTGTGCAATTACTACTTCATTAGTCTGGTGTCTTGAAAATTACGTAAAGTTGTGCTTTGTAAAGCCAGTGACATTGCAAAGGCATATCATGCAAATGTTTGTGTCCCTAGAGCTACCTGCAGTGCACAGTTTGTGTTAACCAGGCCAAAACTCAGTATACAAAGCCAACGGAAAATAAAATGCTACTTCAAAATAAAATACTCGTTTTGTTTCCTGTTTGGGTGGTGACTGAACGTTACCTGGCACCACAGCCAGCAGTAAGTGGCTGCTGCTGCTCATACTTGTTTCCATGGAGCCACCAGAGCTGAGACTGATTGAACTGCAAGTAACATAAAACAAGGCTTTCCCATCTTTATTTTTATCACAGAGGGATTTTTGTTTTAATAAAATTGCTATGTTTATTGGCAACACTAGCCGGTGTAATACTTGGTTGGTCAGGGTCTTGAAGAGAACGTCCATGAAGGCCTGGGACACCTGCAGCAGTGGAGAAAGCACTAGGTTTCTCCTGCAGTCCTTGGGATTTGAACTGCAAAACAGTAATGTGTGGACAGTTTCTCCAGGTAAGCAGGAAAAAGTGAATCCCATAAAAAGGTAAAGGACAGCATTGCTTGTAGTATTCCTTTGACAGTAGATTCGCATTCTGGGTGAAGTCCTGAGAGGTATTAACAACTGTTCTGTAATTGAAAGGATTTGAGGTCTGCACTTCTAGTCTTCGTGTCGTCTCATTTAAAAACAAAACCAAACCAAAATATGCCCCTATGCTTCTCCCTGTGTGTGTGGGGGGGAGGGAGAATGGGGGGGGGGGGGGAAGCTCTGTAAACTGGTGTTCTGTGAATAGCACTTCTTGCACTGTGCCATGGCCTCTGTTCTGGCATGATGCTTCCCTTGGAGAGCTATCAAACTGTCTAAACATCCAGCTACTCATATAAGGGAATTTCTTTTTAACTCTGTAAATATTTATCATAAGAGTTTGTCTCAAGGAAAACATTATTTGTACTTGAGTTTTTTTAAAAGAAGATGGAGAAGGCATGTTCTATGGGGTTTCCCCGTTTCCCTTTTCAGTAATAACCCAAAAAAAAGGTATCAGTATTCTCTGACTTCGCATGTGTCTGCTCCTACTTACATATGGCAGTGTACTGATGTATGAGATGAAACATGTTTTTGGGGAGGGCTTCAGACTGAACACACACAGGAACTCTAGGAGGTTAATTCCTAGGAGAGAGAGGAAGGCAAGTGTAGAGTTGGCACAACATTGCGTAGCTACAAGACTGTGTGTGTTCCTGGTGATGCTGGAGGCCTTTCTGTCTCTGGGAGACCCTTGAGAGCTGCTGTATTAAGTAGTGAGCAGGTATTTTTAATTCAATGTGTTCACAGAAATTATTGAGAACCTTTGTGATGTCTCCTCCTGTATCCAGCTGCTTGTCTCCCAGACCAAAGTTGCTCTTCCAGTTGGTTAATAGGTGTAGGAAGAAACATTCCGTGGCTTTTCTCAGGCTGAAGAGAGGCTGGGAGAGTCCTCCATGGTTAGCTCTCCCATGAAGTCCATGTGGTCATGCTCGTTATAGATTGTTATAGAGATGCCTTTCAGAGAATTGCTATCAAAAGCTCAAGCAACGTAGCTTTATTTTACATGGTAGATCTCTTGAACCTTTCTGCATAAGCAGCTAGACTGGTCATCGTTTACTAACTGTGCGTGGGAGAGATGTTTCTCTGCCAGGATCTGCACTGTCACTTTGACCGAGGTGGGGTGGGTGATGGGGCTGTCTGGGAGAGCAGCCAGACTGCTGCAGCCTGCGTGGCACTGCTTCTGTGGCTCTTCTACCATGGCTGTTTTTTCTTTCTTTGTACTTCTGTGGTTAATTTTTTTTTTTTGGTTGTTTTATTTATTTATTGTAGTAATCATTGTGAAATGGTGAAATACAACGGAATTTGTATGTATGGCAGTTTGTGCATGTATTTGTGAACTGCAATAGCTACTGCAGCTCTGTGAAGTTATGCTGCCCTTCCCTGATCATATACATACTATAAATAGTTATACATAGCTTTTTTTTAAAACAAACAAACAAACAAAAAACTCTTCCAAGTAGCAGTTAAAAATGTGAGCAATGACACTACTATGATTCTTCCATGGTTTTAGTGAACAAAACTGTTTGTTAAAACGGCTAGGTTTTAGGTTTTAGGCCTAAACTGCAGGTTAATTGAAGCTGATGGGGAAGGGTCAGTTTAGGCTTGCCATATTTTTTACACTTCTTCCCTAGAGTTCTAGCTATTTTGGCTGCTATCCTAGAGAGGATGCAGTGTGGGGTAAGGCTCTGGTCTAGCCCAAAGCAACTGCTGCTTGCAAGACTAGACCCCAAAAGTAGAAGTACTGAAAAGAAGAAGGCAGGTAAATTTTGTTTGTTAGTATGTAAGTCTAAAGAATACTTCTAACTTACATGAAAGAAGTAATTTCACTTTCCCCCTTGCACCCACTCCCCACTTATGCTGGTGCAGCCATTTGTGAGGCCAGATGGCGAAGTGCAGCAGGTAACCAATCCAGCTGAAAAATAACTCTGGTAATGTATGCTGGTAGTAACTAGAGAAGAGTTTCTGCTTGCCATTACCTAGCAGCTGAATTATTTCATTGGCCTGTTATATAGTCACACAGATGACTTGTTTTCTGGAATTCTTTTTAAAACAATCCTCCTTGAATTCTATGTTTTGCAGTGAATATGCATGCTTGTCAGGGGAAAGGGGGAGAAAATCCCTCATGAAATAAGGAATTAGGTCATGTTAGGCTTCCTAACCCCCTCCCCACCAAGGCCTTTCAGAAGATAAGGAATTTAAACACTTCTGTGCTTTGAGCCATTCTTCAAAACACCCTGCTTAGCTTTCAAGTAGTAATTGGTCCCTGTGCTTCTTTTATGCATCTTTTTATACGATGAGGGTGCTTTTTCACTGCAGCAGGCAGAAGCATCTGCTTTCTCCCAACCTATTTAGAAGTGCTGTTTTACAGCCTGTAAATATGGTAGTTTGGATCATCTTCTGTAAGTATCTAAGTGCATTTTTCTGTGTATATTGAAATAAATTATTTTCAAACTAACCAGTGCTATGTTTACCAGATAGTTATGTTAGAATTTTATTTTATTTTTTTATTTTTTTTTTTGTGAACTAGACTTCACGCATTTCTCTACACTTAGGGCTTTGATGTACAACCCTCTCAGGAAATCAACATGCACAATAACAAAAGCACAAATCACTTATTAATCGGTTTACACTAATGTCTGTGTTTTAATTTAAACGGTAGCTTCACTGAAACCATGGATACAGTCTAACTTCTCCAAAAAATACTCCCCTGCATATCTGTAGGCCAGGAGTAAGTCAGCCTACTTAACTTCCCTGACCTTTTTAGTTTTGCTCGCTTGCTCTGATATATGAAAATAAGGAGGTGATGTTTCTGAGCAAAAGTGGATTGCTTAGTGTTTCGGACGGTGATGATCTGGGGATGTACTTCTCATTTAGGGAGGTCCTTTCACTTTTCTCCTAAACCTCCTGTGGAGGAGATGAGATTGTGGCTTGGAAGAGCTGGTGCTCTCACCAAGTATGGCATTTTGTACGTGTAATGGTTAAGAATATGTATCTACTATCTTCACCCCAAATGTTCTTCACCCAAGATTCTCCTGCATATGCTAGACTCTCACAGTACTGCAGAGTTAATTTTATCTCCATCTTCCATTTGTGTTTACGCAAACAAACACTTTGGTGTGTTGGCTTTAATTAGGTCTCTATTAGAAATACGTTATGTTACTAATGGATGTCAAAACGCAGGGGAGTAAAAAGGCTTGACCTCCAGAGATGGAAATGTTATTAATGCTTAAATGATTCTATTCAAATTCTGGTTAACGCATCAGTTGTTATGAATGTCACTGTGTTTGTGCAGTGTACTTTGTGATACTGGACTGTGATTTTTCCCACAGGTATAAATGAGTTAATTTAATTAGAAATGCAAGGGTTTGTGCCTGTAGGGATAAAGGGCCCATAGACTGTGAATTCATATCTGCTCACACATGTGCTTAGCTGTAATTTTTGCACAGTTGTGTTGCTTCCAGGAGATCTTTCATGTGAAAGGAGCCAAGCATGTGTCAGCATTTGTGAGATCAAGACGTTTAATGTCTGGTTTGGGCTGTAAGTTTCTGCTATATGACAAACGTTCCCATTGCATTGTTACCAACAGGCGCAGCAGTAGAAGGCTGGATTGGCCTGTGCACTAATCCCACCCCCAGACACAACTGTTGACTTTAAAGAGGAAATATTTGGGCCCATAAAGCAGAAACTTGCAATGTTGGATTATGTCCAAAATTTGACCTACACTGTTTTGTCCCATTTTCTCCTGTATAATCTCTTTGCACAGTCTATGTAATTTTTTGTGTTCTGCTTTGTTCTTCAAAGCACAGATTAAACCATGCTTTTCTCTAAACAGATAAATTCCAGCAGTACTAGATCCTAAAGCAACCCTCCAATTTCACAGACCAGAGAGCCACAAGAAGAAATAGATATGGTTGAGCAGACATTTTCATCATGTTTTTTTGCAAGGTCAGAATACTGACAATAACAACAAAAAAGTAATGTTTGCATACATTAGTTAGATGCTGGAGAACAATAAATACTTTGGCTAAACAAAAGTAGACCCCAGGCATATGATTGATTTCTACAATTAACACATTGGGAGTCTTAGGCTGTTAACCAGGGAGTTTTCTGAAGAGGAGAACTGAAGAAATCTTTTTTCTGATCAACTTCTCTGAACCACAGTGTGACTGCAGTATGTATGCAGCCCCTCTTGGGCATGAGAACCCAGCGTGGGGCACAACATGCTGAGCCCTTGCCCTGGCGAAGCTCCCACCCACATCCATGGGCTCACGGGACCTCTGCTGAGTCCCAGGAATGGGGCAAAGCCTGGGGCTGGAGCTATGGTAGCTGGGCCCAGCAGGAGCTCTGACCGAAGGCTTTCTTGCAAGTGTTTGGTTATATATGTGAATTCTGAAAGCTCTGTGTCCAGCAGGAGAGATTTGAGTGAGCCAGTGATCACACCTTTGTTGACATGAGGGAACTGTAGGGACTGCAGCCAGTCACAGGAGATTCCCAGTACACAGGGCTACTCATCTTATTAACTAAACCTGATGCTATCGACTTTTCTTTGGGTTCTGCTGCTAAGCTGTTCA